GGAATATTTTACATTTTAAAATATGTAAAAATAGAAAACAATTATTTTAAATTCTAATAATATTACATAATATAACTGTATAGTGTTTCATAAAACTGTATTTTTGATCAAATAAATTCAGCCTTGGTGAGCATAAGAGACTTTTTTTTTTTTTATCTTACCAATCCCAGATTTCTTACTGAACTGAACATTCTACAAAGCATCTGAATCCTGTGTCAGTGACTATAATACGTTATAAAAATGTTGAACACACAGTATGCATACTGCAAAAATAGTATGAGTTGTATTATGGTATGACATTTGAACATATACACATCCCTTTTGTTTGTCAGGAGCTTTATTACTTGTGAATGGTGAACACGGTATACATATTCCCCACATTCCCCACGATGGGGAAGTCGTGGCCTAATGGTTAGAGAGTCGGACTCATAACCCAAAGGTTGTGGGTTTAAGTCTCGTACCGGCAGGAATTGTAGGTGGGGGGAGTGAATGTACAGCACTCTCTCCCACCTTCAATTCCACGACTGAGGTGCCCTTGAGCAAGGCACCGAACCCCCAACTGCTCCCCGGGCACCGCAGCATAAATGTCTGCCCACTGCTCCGGGTGTGTGTTCACGGTTTGTGTGTGTTCACTGCTGTGTGTGCGCACACTTTGGATGGGTAAATGCAGAGCACTAATTCCGAGTATGGGTCACCATACTTGGCCACATGTCACGTCACTTTTTTTTTTTTTTTTTTTTTTTTTTTTTTTTTTTTTTTTATATACAGGGCTGTCTGTTGAGGTCTATACTATTTTAGAAACGGTGTAGATCACGAATTCATAATATATGAATTCATAATAGTCATGTTTTTACATGTGTTTTCTGTATAACCTGCTCTCAGGAGATATATCTTCAACTGGATGCATTTTGGGACAGGAAGAGTTGCTCAAGTCGTGGCTGGTAAGAAACAATGCTGTCAAAAGTCTCAATTGGGTTATTATGTGACTCAGATCCATTTTAACAACAATGCTGCCAACAGAAAGCGGCTAAGTTCAATATAATTGAGTTTTGACAATTTAATTTTTTTTATTGTAGCTGATTGCGTATCATTTAATATTTTATAGTTTGCTTTTATGGAGGCTAGCCTGTTTTTATGTCTGGTGTTATGATTTATAATATTAGTTCAGGGTGCCTGAAATATTAGCAGTATGTGTTTTTAAACACTGTCATAACCAAGTTGTGTGTTTTCATGATTTAGTTGTTACCATCTTCCTCGGGATCCATCAGCAAGCTCTGTCCCTGCCTGCTCCGTGGTCCACAGGGGTCTTGGCATTCCTTGTGGTGTGGTTTGTGCTGGCAGATTTGGTTCTGGACGTCCATCGAAGGGGGTTTTTACCTATAGGTCAGTAAACCACCCTCAGACATGTGTTCTGTACCTGGATTCCTTTTCAGAGCATTTATTTATTGTATGAGTAGTGTTTCTTTGCATCTATGCAGGAAATCGGTTGTGCTGTATGAATCCATTAAATTGTAAAAGGTTTTATTATACGTCATTAGTAATTGACATGTTGGGTTGAATGCTAATCAGTTTGAAATGCCACAACCTTTCAGAGCAAAAAGACATGTTATTTGTGGATGCATTATTCTTTACTGTAAATGTGATTATTTCTTATATACAGTGCTGCTTTAAAGTTTGTGAACCTTTTAGAATTTTCTATATTTCTGCATAAATATGACCCAAAACATCATCAGATGTTCACAAAAGTCCTAAAGGTAGACTAAGAGAACCCAATCAAACAAATGAGACAAAAACACATACTTTGTAAATTATTTATTGAGAAAAATGATCCAGTATTATATATCTGTGAGTGGATAAACTCTTGCTTTCAGTATCTGGTGTGACCCTCTTGTGCAGCAATAACAGCAACTAAACGTTTCCGGTAACTGCTGATCAGTCCTGCAAAATGACTTGGAGGAAATTTAGCCCATTCCTCAGAACAGAACAGCGTCAACTCTGGGATGCCGGTGGGTTTCTTCACATGAACTGCTTTCTTCAAGTCCTTCCACAACATTTCAATTGGATTAAGATCCAGAATTTGACTCAGTCATTCCAAAACATCAACTTTGTTCTTCTTTAACCATTCATTGGTAGAACAACTTGTGTTCTTGGGGTCGTTGTCTTGCTGCATGACCCACTTTCTCTGGAGATTCAGTTCACAGACAGATGTCCTGACATTTTCCCTTAGAATTTGCTGGTATAATTCAGAATTCATTGTTTCATCAATGATGGCAAAAGTTTTTTTTTGTCTCAGCCGTCCACAAAGCATTTTTCCAATAGCCCTCTGGCTTGTCCATGTGTTCTTTAGCAAACTACAGATGGGCAGCAATGTTCTTTTTGGAGAGCAGTGGCTTTCTACTTGCAACTTGCTCAGTGTTCTCCCGATGGTGAACTCATGAACATTAACATCAGCTAAAGTGAGAGAGACTTTTATTTGCTTAGAAGTTACCCTGGGATCCTTTTTCACTTCACGTACTATTACAAGTTTTGCTTTTGGAATGATCTTTGTTGATCGACCACTCCTGGGGAGGGTAGCAGTTGTCTTGAATTTCCTCCATTTGTACACAATCTGTCTGACTGTGGATTTGTGGATTCCAAACTCTTTGGAGCTGGTTTTATAACCTTTTCCAGTCTGATGAGCAACGACAGATCTTTTTCTGAGGTCCTCAGAAATCTCCTTTGTCCGTGCCATGATACACTTCCACAAACATGTGTTGTGAAGTTCCGGCTTTGCTAGATCCCGGTTCTTTAAATAAAACAGGGCACACACTGACACCTGATTGAAAACATCTCGGAACAGATGGAGCCTAATTTCACCTATAGTGTGAATTGTGTGAATAACTGATGGCGCTTTGGGTCATATTTATGCAGAAATAAAAAAATTCTAAAAGGTATTATTATTTATTAATGGTAGTAGTGCATTTTATGTGTATGTGTTTTTCAGGTAAATATTTAAAAAATGTCAAAATCTACACTGAACATATCAATTCTGACGACAAAGAGGAGGTTGTGTTTGTTCCTGATGAGAATGAGACTTATAGCGTGGTGAGTTGAGTTTGTGTTTACTTCTTCATGATAAACATGTGCATTTCATTAATGATATATTAATGCAATATGTCCATTGCATTTTCTTTTTTCTTTTTCCAGGAATCTTGTTTTAAAAACATAGTTCTGGCTATTTATCTCTGTGGAAATCTGGGATTTTTGACTACTCTCCTTTGGAGTATCAGAGCAGTATGACAATCTCAGCAGTCGTTTCCACATTTAGTCTCTGGAACTTTCACTAATCGTGCCTATTTTAAAACAAGCCAAAGAAATATGGAGTAAGATTGATTTATGACAGGCCACCTGTCAATTTACAGTGATTATTAGAATTAATTTGTCTGATTTGAAATTAAATTTCTTGACTGCTTAGGTATAAATCAATTTAGTATATATTTTTTAGCACTTTTTGTAATAATTTTTTTTATTATGTATGTACACAATGGCTAACCCATAAAATTATTTGTAGTAAAGAACAATGTCAGCTTGTTATTTAAATGTCTGTTCCTGATCTGCTTTTTTAAGTTTGTATTGCATCTGAAGAACACGTTTTCCTTTGTGTGATATTTGGTGACTGCATTTAATTAACAATGTTTACAGATCGGTCTTGATGCTGTGTATGTCTTTTTCTAAATATGAAATAATCATGTTTTAACCACCTTATTCTAGTGCCTAATATTGATTTGTGGATTTAAAGACTGTTACTGTTGCCTGAAATGTAAATATTATTAACAGTGTAGTGTATCCATTCTGTACAAAGACTGAATGTAGTTTGGATGAAGTGGACCATTTATTTGAAGTTTTGTCAGATTGTCATCACAGAAGATGACAATCTGTGACAGATCAATCACCTTTTTAAATAAAACTTGTAACTGTGTTGCTAGATTTCTCTTCTAGAATATGTTCATACATTTTGTATTAATATGTGTCTTTACACTGTTATTTTAGCCCTTTAGGATCATGGGTTGCTGTGCTGCTGGCTCTCTATTTTAAACTTGAAATTAATTATTTCAAAGACTGCAAAAGTAATGTGTGTGCAGTAATTCTGTGTATGAGGAAGTTTTTTTCTCCTGTGAAGAGTTATTTTAATACAAAGACAATATGGTGCGGTTCCTCGTCAACATAATCAACTGTTTTAGTATAAATCGACAACTGCCTTAAATTGACATTTATTTCTTAATTTGTATTTTGAACACGGTTGTTCAAACGGTATGCAAAGCAAGTATTTTCTTGAGACGGACATGGATTCAAATTTTAGCAAGCAACACTGTTTTATAAGCATGGCAGTTTGACATAAATATACACAATCTGTGGACAACAAAGCAATTGTTGTCATTTTTAAATAATAGATTGTTTTCTAAGATTAATATAATTACTAAATACTAGATTTAAGCTTTTCATACTAAGTATAACTGAAGTACTGAAATGTAATCTGGAAATGTAGTCCTATATTATTAGAGCAATCATAGCAATCAAATTCAGATCAATTCTTTAAAAAAGGAATAGTCCTTTGTCAAAAGATACTAATTGATCTGTTTTCAGTGATATTTAACAAAATACATAGATTTTGTATACATTTTCACTTAAATTTTATCCTAAAACCCTGTAATACTGCTTCATATTTTCATATAATTTAGGGATATACAAACATTGCCTTACAAGAAAGTACATATTCTCCTCAACTTCGTAGACAAAACACTAAAAATATGGTTTATAAGTCTCCAGATACCTCGTCAAAGAGGAATCACAAATATGCATGAAACGGTACATTCAAATAACATTTAGGCATCTCGGCATATGCAGATTTTTTTTTCTGGATCAATAATAAAGTCACACAAGCAGCAGTAGCAAGTGTATATGCTGTCACAATAAACAGACGAGTGTGAGCATTGAAAATTATCTCACGTAAAACAGCTGCAAAGTGATCAGTGTCCAATTTTACTCATTGGTCGCAAACTCCCCTGCCTCCCAGCGCAGCGCCATGGAACTTTTACGTCGGCCTCCAGTATAGGGTTCAGGAAACTATAGGACAATGAAAGTGATTTGATTTTCAAATTTCTCTTTGAAAACATTTCTACAACCTCTGAGCAACCTAATATAAACAGTTTTATCTTTTAGTTACAGATCATTTAAATTCCATATAGAAACTGCATGTTGTGTTTTCTTGTGTTATCTTTGACTAATATTTAAATTAGTTTGATTATCTGAAACATTAAAGTGTGACAAACATGCAAAAAAATAAGAAATCAGGAAGGGGGCCAACACTTTTTCACACCACTGTATGTAACTAAATTAAACTTTTCTTGTGACACTGCACATATGTTTTCATATACTTACTCGATGATCACATGACAAAGCTGAACGATCCATTCTGCATGTTCTCATTGGAGATGAAGGGGATGATTTACATTTAATTGGCACATCATCTGAAAATAAATTAACAACCAAGAATGAACAGATCATTTTCTGATGACATTTCATGACATGCATGTGTTTGCAGTCTTAGTGATGTTGTCATTACTTCAGATCAATGGAATGAATTTTTTTTTTCTATTTCTCTGTTAACATGCAGTACCTGTAAACGATGAGCTGTCCAAATGATTTGGAGACATCAAGAAGTGATCCTTCGAGTAAATACTGGCCCTTTGATGCTTGAGTTCCTCTTCTCGCTGCTTCACCATCTTAATCTCCTCATCAACTAGAGATATCGAACTCCTGGACCGCAGCTTGAAAAACGGGTTGTTGAGGAACATCTTCTCCTGGGTTTCCTCAGAGACAGAATTCAAGTTTAACTCCGATGCACTTCGAATGATGAGGTTTGATGTCTCCAAAATGATGACATTAGGGTTGTCTTCAGGTCTCCAGTCAGCAGATTTAGAGGACACCATCTTTCCATGCCGTGGACTTGGAGGGAAAGGCTCTGGCTCAAGAATAATAACATTGTTGGCGCTCAAGTCTTGTTTCTGTGCGCTCTTGGTTGGTGAGGAGGTGATGATGAAAGAAGGCGTCTTGAGAGACTTGGATAAACTTTCCTCATCATCCTGGTCTTCAAACATCTTCCTTTTCTCATCGACTTCTTGGCATAGGTTTCCAGTGTTAAAGTTGGCAGTTCTTGGCCTCATCTGTACACAGTCACTGGAGTATGATTTTGACATTCCCCTCTCACGCCTCAGGTTCTCCTCACGCTCCATGGTTAGGCGAATCTCCTTCTCAATTGGGGTCTCTGGGTCATCAAACGGTGATCTGTAACTAGAGTCGTCCAGACCTGAATCCTCAGAGCAAGGGCTGAACTGGGTGTGCGCGTAATCCTCTACAAGCGTCAAGCTCTCAAGGTCCCTCTTGGGCCTTTCGATGTTGCGAACTGGCGTATACATGAAGCTGTGACTACCTTGGCAGGTGCTAGATCGAGTTGTTGGTGTGCTTGGATGGTGCGTCAAGTTTTTCGTTTGCTCTTCGATCTCTAGCCACTGTTGGCGAGCAACTTTGAAATCCACATGTTCTGTACTGACGTTCTCGCTTTTCATTTCCTGAATCACACAATAATCTTTCGGCACCTTTTTGCTGGAATCGGATTTGACAGAATCAAATGAATTGCTCTTGTGGGTTGCTGAGCCTCGTCCAAGCTCCTCATCGTCTTCGGAAATCTTGGACAAGCCGTGAAACAGTGTGGAAGGACTGTAAGATATCTCTTGCGGTTGCTGAACTGGCTCATTCTCCGGTTGTTCTAGCACTTCTTCTCCCAGCGGAACCTCCAGCTCTTCAGTTTCCTTTGAAAAGTCCTCAGTATTCCGTACTGCAGGTTTTTGAATAAAGAGTTCTTGTGCACTCAGCTCAAGGCTTTCAATGTAGGAATCATCATCTTCCTTATTTATGGAGGAAGAGAATATGCTCCTCCATTTCTCATCATTTTTACTGTCTGCAGCTATTTCGACCCGAAGACACTCTTCTAGTTCGTCTGGGTCACGGCAAGACTCTGTGGAGACATCTGACAGAACTTCCTCTCGGATGTAGTGCTCAAGGATGGTTTCTTCTGGATCCTCACATCCAAAACTTTCTAAGATGGCTTCTTGTGAGTCTATACCCAATGGGTCTAACATATCTCCATCTTCAACATTATCTGGTTGGGGTGCAATGTTCTCCAATGGTTCCTGTCTTAGTGAATCTTGCCTCTTATGCATGGCTTCATTCTCATATACGCTCTCAGCACTTGAAGGAGTGTCGGATATTGAAGAAGTAATTGACTCATTGTGGTAAAGTTCTTCTTGAGTATCCTCCAAGACAAGTGCCTCTTTTGGATTGCAAACATTTTCCAGATCATCAGCCTTGGTCTCCGTAGGAGGTAAGCCTGCTAAAATATCAGCCACAACTTTTGTACTAATGGACTCTAAAGCGTCAGCATCATAACAGACTTGTTCATCTTTGTTTCCTGTGTCCTTGCTATCAGGTAACTCAGTCTCCAGAACTTCCATTTCACAGTCAATTATGTTTGCTGTGCCGGAGTTTTCACTTGTCTCCATGGTTACAGGCTCAGACAGGGACTTCAGCTCTGTATGCTCTGGATTCTCAGGATGAGAGCAACCTGCAATCTCTTCCAGGCTATCCACCTCTTCAGGCTCAGTCTTAGCTCCCTGCAGGAGAAAAAGACGACAAAGAAATTCACAAGCAGCAAGAGAAATCTAATTTCCCTAATCACCAAAACATTCACAGCGTATCAAAGCTAATTTGCACCTTCTCATGTTTAGTACAGATCTTATGTAACACATAATTTCCAAGGAAGTTTTTCAGGGCTTATTTCAGGACTAAGTTTTCACTCGGGGGGGGGTTACCTGAGCTTCAGCTGATGTGGCTCAAAGCAATATTCCTTGCAAGAGGTTCTGAGGTTAAAATCTGCTTGACTCACAAATAATTTAAAACCACTAAAACATTTACATATTTGATTGCATTCTATGTTGAGTAATTTATTTCTGGTTCTTTAATGGTTCCATTAAGAATTATTTTAAATTTGAGGAACAAATGCAATTCTGTTGTTAATTTTACATAAGAATGAATAAAAAAATGTGACACATTGTCTCCCGAGCCTTACAGTAGCCTATATTGTTGGCCTACAACCTCAATTAAGGTTAGTAGTAAGTGTGAGAATGCGATGCTGCTGCAACTGATTCAAGTTTTTCTGTATTTCCAAAAAAACAGACTAATAAGTGTCCTGAGGGACCGGACTTCACTTGTCAATTCACTGGTTTTGAATCACCAAAAGATCCGACTCGTATGAATATCTTGGCATTATGTTTGGAATTAGGCTTCATGTCGAGCTGTATTTTTGTGATTCTCTAAAATGAACCGGCTCATTAGAGTCATTCGCTTGAGAATTAGACTTGTATGTTTCACGCTAAAAATAATGAATGGGTCACACTTTTAGTAGGCTACCTTGCTCCACCCGCATCAATGGAAGATATGCGATACATCCGCCATGGCCGTTTACCGATAATGAATCTGAACATTATGCAAATAATTTAGGTCCCTTTTTTCGGACGAAACCTGTTCTGAATAAGAACAGATGCCGAATAGCGGTTGTGAGAGGGAAACATAATAGCCTATTTAATGTAAATGACTGCATAGTAGGCCTATTCTGAGTGAAATAACCTTACTGCAGTCACTTTAAGTAGAAATGAGATCACATAATCACAAATTTTAATGGAAACTTAAATGGGTGAGTGAAGCGCTCCTAAACACGTCAAGCAACACCTCTGGTTTTTTCCCTAAACTTGAGACTCAAATGTTGAAAGGCACCATGTTGTAATCAGGGTTGCCAGGTTTTCACAATAAGACCCGCTCAATCGCTACTCAAAACTAGTCCAAAACTAGCCCAATCGCGTTTTGAGGGGGGTCCCCCGTTAAACATGGTTCTGGGGATAAAATACAGGTGTTTTGGCGGGGTTCCCCTGGTAAAATTTGCATTCCATGGGCATGAAAAACAACCAGCGGCAACAGTGTTAAAGTCCCCATGAAATCAAAATTAAAGTTTTTTGGGTGTTAGTATTAATATATTAATCTTAAGGTTATCTATATAAGGCAGTGTTCTCCAAAACAGTGACAAAATTTGCATTTAGAAGATATAAGCATTCAAAGCTTGCAGTTCGTCACTTCCGCCAAAACGGCTCAACGTTTTTTTTGACGTCACACCGTACTTCATCTTCTCATCAAATCTTCTGACCAATCAAATGCTCTCTAGAAGCCAAAGCCCGCCCCCTACACTATAAATAGACGCTGCAGCTGAGATTGGTCACTTGTTCACAGTGTAGTATTTCCTGTACAGTTCATGGCACTTAGTGCACAATGTAGGTGATAGAGAAAGATTCAGATATGCTTTCGATTGGTGCAAATGAGGTCTGGTTTCACGTTGTGTCACGCGAACCACGGCATCAGTCTGATCCGGACTTTGGCTCCGGTCCAGAGACGCGATCGCATGGAGCGGATCATATGCGCGAGTTGGCATATATTAAAAACTTTTAAAACTACACAGCCTCGGCATGATTATGACTACTATTTTGTTTTACTAAGAGTTTCATATTGAATCTAGGGTGTAATCTATTAGACTGGCTGTCAAATGGAGAAGGAGAAATGCGGCTTTACCAAGCTCAACGGCTCTGACCCGTGCAGATAAACAAAACGCTATTGGATAATTTAAAAAGGGGGCGGGGCTCCTCGATATGTCTCGCCCTGTCTTCCTGTTTCAGTTGAAATTACGTCACCACATAGAATAACGCTGCGTGTTTCAAGGCACTTCAGGGGACCTTTAAAGTAGCCCAATTCCACGGGAAAACGCGGACTTGGCAACACTGCACTGGTTGTAATTGCACAGCACTTCAAAAACCAGGTTAGTTAAGTGTTAGTTTCATTCTGTATAGAAATTCTTACCTTTTGAGCTGACTCTGCCAAATCGCACCTTTTTTTTACATCTGTTTAACACATAGTGTGAAAGGTATTTTTAACGTGCACATACAGGAATTTGAAATTCACCAATGTCTTCCTTGTGTATAATATGCAACATTTATACCCTAAATGAGATTATTCCAGTTTATAAGAATAAAGTGGAAGCACTTACAGTGCACAGCATAAAAGAGTACACCCCCTCTGATTATAAAATATGTATTTTCTTAATGATCACTAATATAATTCATAGAAAGATGGCCAAATTTAAACGTATTAATGTATTCTTAATAAAAACAGAGACATACATTCCATTAATATTTGTAAAACAAGAACCTTAGCCAATTTTTGTTTAAATGAAGGATTGCAGAATTGAGTACAACCTAAATTTAATTCAACCAAGTGTAATATTCTAGAACTTAATATGTCCTCCATAACTCTAAGTACACTGCTCTGACACTTCTTGGCACTGAGTGTACAATTTCATGACAGCTCAAGAGTGTTAAGATTGAGTGAAATACATGTCCACTGAAGGATTTTCAACTCAGGAGAATGAATATCTTCATTGTCATGTAAAAAAAAAAGCCCAACAATGCAGAGAATGAGAAGAGGGTAGCATCTTCAGTTTCAGGTTTTTGTATTACATCACACAGTGGTGTGTGAATTCATGACAGCGTTGATAAAGTACAACACCCTCACACCTTCAGCACTCATACATCCCTATAGAAGAGCTTTACTACCACTGAATGCCACTGTGGGAACCAGGCACTTCTCTCTGTACTCCTCCATAGCAACACCAGAACATTTTGGATGCTGTTAGATCCTAAATGATTGAATTGGTCTCATGAGACCAGCGTATGGATTCCCAGAAGTCTATATTTTGTAAATATGGGCCTTGGAAAAAGCTAAATGAGTTTATTGTGCTTTGGCTACAGTCGGTAGTTCTGGTGTGGATAAACAACCATGCATGTCACTTCTGCATGCTGCATCTTACTCTGTGAGATAAAGTGTCACTCTTTTCACAGCTTTTGCTGGCTCTGAGATACTTTCACGGTGTTTCTCCTGCTCTTTTTCAAGCAAAAACTCACTCATCACTAAATTAAAACTTAAAGTGAAGACCTGATTATTTCAGGGGCCTTTTCACAAGTCCATTGTTTTTTTTATTTATGTGTTACTTTGGCTATATTTTCACACTTAAAATAATAATGTGGTATTCCTCCTGTACCATGGTCTTCTTTTATGCTAAGAAATAAATCTCCTGACAGTTCTCTCTCAAGTGGTTTCATTGTTGTCAGCATTAAGTCTGAGTATGATTCAGTGGGCCATATAACACTTAATTATCAAGAAATTACTTACCTTTAACAGTTTTGGTTCAACATACTTACCTGTTGATCAATACTTGCCTTAACCTTACACCAAATTTTTTTTTTTTTCAGTTTTATTTAGTAACTTTCAGGAGGGTGTACTCATTTTTGCAACACATAATTTTATCACTTTGATAAGAAAATGGTATTTTCTTGAATAATTTTAACATTCTTCTTTGGTAACTGATCAAGCAGACTTGCTGAAATATTGTATCTCTAAAAAACCATAACATGTCTTCTAAGCAAAGAGTAATTGCTGAATTTGTTAAGTTTCAGAGGGGGTATACTAATTTATGCTGTGCACTGTATTTACTATTGCACTGAATCATTTCACAAAAGTGGGTTATAGTAGGCAGAAATAAGTAGATTTATTATATAACACTGCAGAACTGGCTGTTCTCCTCATGCATGAAACGTTTGTCCCGCAGTTAATCAGCATATAAGGCTCTGGATCAGACCAGAAAAGGAAGAGGAAGAAGAGAATCCCTTGAGGGCGGAATCCTCTGACTGAACATCCCCATTGACTCCCATTGACCACAGGTATTTTTTTTTTTATTTAATTTTCTATACATATTGAGAGGGCATATTATGTGAGAATTAACAATCATTCACACATTGCATGTTGTTATTTGTCTTGTCTTGATGTGCCACTGCAGAGTGTTTGATCATGGCAGCATGGTTTGTTTACATGGATTTTTCTGATCTCATTCGTACCAACTGCCAAGTGCCAAAGTGATGTGTGATCTAACTCTTTCTGACAGACAAAATCAGCTGCCATGGGTATTAGAAAAGAGATTTTTTTCCTCAGAACATCGAAACCACAATTACACACTTTCATGCTGAACATACTGTAACATGATATCAGTAAAATATGGAAGTTGTGCTGAAATCAAAATGCACAAATTGAAGGCACCATTCACAGATTTCATAAGCTGTTTACATCACTTTGAGTTGAAATACTTTAGCCGTCTAGTTGTTCCTTGATGCCCGTTTGGTATAATTACCACCACTGTGTGAAAGTGTCCACAATCTTTCAAGCGGCATGCTAATGCGACCACTAAAAACAGTCAAAATGCAGTGAAATTACCATCCACTTCAGCGCCTGCCCATTTCACCCCAATCAAGCTACACAAAGGCCATATCCTCATGAAAATGACGAGCGGTAAAGTGTTGCCTACCATGGCAACACCCCCCTACACGACTCCTCCTTTAGCAGCTCAGCTCGTGAGAAAACTTCAACACACTCGCACCCTCTCCGTCTCAGCATTTGTGTCTTGACAATCTGTATTCCGTAAATTATTCAGTGACAATAACATTTGCATTGAAGGCAGGCGGCAGTACCCGCGTGTCCCAGTACCTACCGTGAGCTTTAGAAACAGGAGCCAGAAGGAGATCATCTCCACCTTGCCAAGAAAATCTTTTCAGTGAAACCCACAAGCACTCTGGGCTTGAGTAAATATGTTGTGGATGCATGGATAGGAAGTGAACTTGGCTTGATATGGGACTTATTGGCAGAAATGTCATTGCTAGATGGTCTGATGTCACTGATGTTGGCGTGAATGCACCTCAGGGCATCTTCCTGTTACAAACGCTCAACTCTGATTGGTCACTCTAGTGTATTTCCACTAACAGCTGCAGTTTTGGCTGGCTGATCAATAAGTGGCTTGTCAATGAGGTCATGTGTCACTTCCTGATGGATTTCCTTAAATGACTCTTTTCATGGGGAATGTAACAGTTGGGAATGGAGCTATCACTAATTAATACAATCCAGAGATACATTTTGAACTGTTTCAGTATCAAATAGTTGTGCACATCATTGTGGTGAGCATTGGCCATTGAAAAGGAGCATTTCAGGCTCAAGGTTGTTCTATCCAGAATGAAATAATAACCTGCATGGAGCATCACAGTAACAGGTGCATGGGGGCCATTCAGACATATGTGACTGGCACTGAGCCCTTGGATATGGAAAGGCAATGTTCTCAGATGAGAAAAAATATCACTATGCGGCATGAGAGCACTGCAGACTAAGATACAAATGTCTCAAATGGAGAATTTTGAGAGATTTATCAGCTTGAATGGAAAAATGACTTGAATGATAATGTTTGTTTTATTTACAAAGTGACTATTAAAAATGAATTACAGCTGCTTGTAAAAAGTAAAAAGTGGCTTTAATACAGCAAGAGAATAAATATTAATAAATATTTGTGAATGATGTATAAATAATACTTTAGAACTTGAAAGAATATGAAAAGGAATATTAAATATATATATATATAAAATTATATATATAGTATGTACATAAAATCATATATAATTATATTCATAAAAATATTTATATAATAAAATATAATTAATTTGTATAAATATTGTGATATATATTATAATTATATATATTTAGAAACAAATTATAAATGGAAAAAAATATATATATTTTGTTTTACACAATTATATATATTGTAATTTTTTAATACATAAAAAAATATGAGGCATTAGACTTCATAGAAAGTGTTACAGATATAAATGAAAAATGTCTCTCTCTCTCTCTCTCTCTCTCTCTCTCTCTATAGATATATATATATATATATATATATATATATATATATATATATATATATATACAGTATATGTATATGAATGCAATTTAATCAAGAGAATAATCCATTATAATATATGAAACTTAGTGAATTTTCAGGTACTAAATGTGGATTCAGTTTATAAAGGAACATACCTGATTTGAAGTTGTATTATAAGCCATTATGAATACTGGATTTTATGAATACATTTATGCATAAAGGCTTAGAAAATGTTACCCATATTTTTGCTGACATATTAATAGCAGTTCATGTGGCAGCTCTCTGCTCTTCTCTGCATTAATGGGAGGGTGAAATGGAGCAGGAGACATTCTCATCTGTAATAATTTCCAAAGAGGTCTCACTGTCTCACATTTACCCCAGGCACACACACACACACACACACACGCCTCCACTCACCCACGCGGACACTTTAATTCACTCTAAAACACACACACACCCACCCACACACATTCAGCTGAGAAGCCCAGTGCTGATGTTGTCTGACAACATCTCAGATCTCGTATTCCACATTTTCTGAAGTGCTTGAGGATTGTACAAGAAGCCTGGGATTAATTAAACTGTCACAGCTTCTGTTTCTCATGTTGTTTCACAGCTACAGCAACATTTTAATGCTTCAGGTTCACATTAGAGAGGACATTGATGAATACAAGTTTTATTGATATGACTTATCCATATCTCTTAAAAAATTCCTTGTTATGCCAGCTCATAAAAATTTAACAATATACATACCAAATATCAATGCAAGTACTTTTTCGATCTTATTTCGCACATCTATGATGCAACAATATTAAGTCTGATATAAAATACAGTAAATGTTTCAGTAGAAAGAGCAAACAAAATCTAAATCTCTAAAAAAAAATACAGACTGCAGATAGAAACCTATCACCCCATGCAAGTGTACACACTCTCACACACTTGTTTGCACAAAATAATGAGTCTTTAGACCAAATTAGCACAAATCCAATGAGTTTAGCATCTGTTTGTCATAGCATCGCAATAATATTACATTCTTTACAGCACCAAAGAAAAAAATATATAAGAGCAATCCAGCACAAACTCCATATAAAACCAACAGCATGACACCTAACACCATATTCATTTTCATAAAGTAGAAGTCTGACTATTCATAAAGTTCTCTGTGTCCTACCTTGTTGTGATACGAGCAGAGAGAGGACAGGGTACGTGCTCAGTGATTCTGTCTTGGCTGAAGCTCTGCTTCTCTGTAACCACAGAGACTGTGACTTACTCTGAATGTACCAGAAACAGCCAATAGCTGAGCAGCCTCAGCCGTTCCAACACACGCACACAGTTGCACAAGGAATTTCTTAAAAGCTTTCTGTCAATCAAGCATATTCTCAAGGTTTCATGTAATGGGTTTCTGATCTTTAGAGAAACTGTCATGATATGGTTTATGACTGTCCTCTCAAAGACCTGCCCTCTGCACTGACACAGTGGCAAAGTTTAAGATCAAGTGACTCAGAAATAATATTGCAGTTGTAAACACTTGTCACTTCTTTTAAACCAATTTTGATGTGTATCATTCAACAAATACTAGACTGTAAAAAATTATATTATTAATCAGTATTTTTGTCTTGTTTTACTCTCAAAAAATATTTAAGCAGGACAAATTCACTTGTAAACCAAAATGTGTAAATTATTAAAATGTTTATTTAAGAGAATGTGAGAATGTAACTTGTTTCCGAAATAAAAAAAAAAAAAAAGACAAAAATAAAATAAATCTCACATTAGCTGTCGGAAACGGCTGAACCTATAATGAAACAAAATAAAGATGGTGTGTAAAAAAAATGAATAATGGTTCTGAAAGATATCTAAGAAATCCATTATGTTTTATCAGCCATTACACACATTTACCATGGTAACTATGGCCTCTGCCAATACCGTAGAAATTGTTACTACAATAAGTGAATATGGGATTTCTTTTCTGAATCTTTTATTTTTATTTATTAACATTTTTGACAATGACAGCGTTACCACAGTTTTTACAGTTTTAGTTCTAAATCTTGTTTAGCAAATCTTGTTGTATCGCTTCAAAAACAGTCAATGTACTAAGAAAAAAGTACAACAGCAGCAAGTTGAAATGTCAAAGTGTAAATTTATTAACTTTATTAATCATATAAAAACAAGACAGTTGTTATAAGACAAGCAGTAAGTTTCATTTCATGCATGTCATGCATTTTTCCAAGTGTGGATGCTTCAAACATGAAACCCCGACAAAATATGAAGAAATGGAACACTAGGTGGAAGTAAAGCAGATAAAATATCTGACAGATATTTTAGTTGTAGTCTAGTATTTTTAGTGGTCTGGCTGTCAGTAATGTTTATTTGCTTTCTTAAAGTTACAGTAAGGTTCAACATCAGTTAAAGCATTACTGTAGGTATCATGAACTAAGAATGAACATTTATAAAGAAATTATTAATGGTTTATTGGTAACTCATGTTTAACCATAAAACATTAACTAATGTTAATTTACACCTCTTTTGGAAGACCAAACAAAGTAGTTTCGCTTTCACAACGAAACACAGCACCTTCATGACATGGCAGCGGCGGCAACAACAATACTACAGCGAGAATAAAAGTTACGCCGCCTTTCTTTGCGTGAACATTTGGGCGGCGTTATGCAAATCTTCCCACATAGTGAGGTAGATATGTGGGGGCGTGTTAGAACGAGCCATTTTAGGTAGGCGTGGCTGACTCTTAACTTTTATAAAGAATATCTCTTTGGATTTGAGACTTCAGTCTTTGCAACTTTACAGATCTTCTTTATGCACCAAGAGCTTGTAACACTCCAAAGAGAAAGGAAAAATTGAAATTGCATCGTATGACCCCTTTAAAATTTTCAAAATGTATTGGCATAAGTAGAACTTAGGATTCACCAAGATTAATAAAAGGTATGAAAGTAGTTGTTCATGATACCTGGTGCATTAAAAGGATAGTCCACCCAAAAATGAAAATTCTGTCATAATTTACTCAATCTCATTTAGTTTAAAACCTGTATGACTTTCTTTCTTCTGTGGAACACTATAAAAGAACACTGGAGCCAACTGACTTCAATTGTTAAGACATTTCTCACAATATCTTCTTTTGAGTAAATAATAGAGAGTAATGGTGAGTAAAGGCCCATTCACACCAAGGATGATAACAATAACTATTAAGTTTAATAATCGTTCCAATTCTGTGAGAATAGAGGAGTCCAGCTGATGAATGATAAAATCATTGATAGCCAATCAAAATCCATCCTGATTTAATGAGCTTGAGCATTTAAAGAAGCAGATGTGACATAACAGCTGAAAGTTATTATGCGTTGGTGTGGATGCTAATATAGTTATCATTATAGGTATCGTTCTTGGTGTGAACGGGCATTAAATAATAACATAATTTTCAATTTTGGATGAAATATCCCTTAATGTTAACATATGGAACCTTATTGTAAAGTGTTACCAATAACTCCAAGAAATGTAAGAAAAAGTTAGTATGGAATTAGAAACCGAAGTGTCTTCTCACTATTTGAATGGTACCTGTGTCTGTCGGGTCTTTGGTTTCATCTCCAAGCATCTGTCTTCCAGAGCTGAAGGTTCTGATGGCACCAGGCCTGATCTCAGAGCGGTACACCGTACTGTTGGGTTTGAAGATCTTGCTGCGGTAGCCCAAAGGGTGGTACGACAAAGGGGCTTCCTTGGGATCTTCATCATCATCATCATCACTAATAACTACCAGTTCAGCCTGGATTCCTTCATCTTCCTCATCAGATTCTGCATTTTGATAACCCATGAAGATCATGGTAACAGGTTCACCAGATTCCACCTCAGGAGGTAGGAAGCTCACAAAATTGAGACTAGAGTCTTCTTTTGGATTCAGAGGGGAATACCGTCCAAATCCCAGCCCGGAGTCTGCCGTTGGAGTTACCCGAAGCTGTTCCTCATACTCTTGTATGGGAGAAGATGCCGGGCTGATCCTGGTTATGCCGCTGTATTCGCTATTAGCATATGATCCATTTTGAGCCAGTTGGTTGGTACCCAAATACTGGTTGGTTTTAGTGGTTGGAATGTAAAGAGCTTCTTGTTTTCTAAAGTTCTCAGCCTGAAAGGGACTCTGGTTCTTGTTGGGCATCTGAAGGCTGATGTAGCCTCTTTCTGTCCTCTGAGGGGTTGTAGATCGACTGAATGGGCTTGAAAACACTGGTTCATGGTATTCCACATATGTTGGGACTTTCTTCTCTGAGGCTTTCATCAGAAGTTCCTCTACTTCAAGAGGGCTCATCTCATTCATGTTATTCTGGGAGTCCCATCCATCAGGTGGTAAAGCATAGACAGATTTATGCCCATCATCATAGACTTTGATGCCTTGTTGTTTGAGATCCAGAGGTGCGATAGTGGCTGTGGAGAGGATGTGACTCTCACCGGTGCGGAGATCTTTTTTCACACTGATCTTCATGGTGTATGTAGCTGAAGGAAATAACACTGTTAAACACAAACCAAATAAAGAAATAATAATAATAAAAAA